TGACTGCTAACCAGAAGGCTGGTGGTTCAAACCCACCAGCCACTCCTCGGAAGGAAGGTTGGGCAATCCTACTTCCATAGTGATACTGCCTCGGAAAACCCAAGGAGGGGTTGCTATGAGTCAGGGCTGACTTGACGGCACATAACAACAACAACAACATGGAAGTAATGAAGGAGCCCTGATGGTGCAACATTTAAGCATTTGGCTGCTAACCAAAAGTTTGGCGTTTTGAACCCAACTAGTGCCACTCCTCAGAAGGAAGGTTGGGCAATCTATTTCCATAGTGATACTGCTTTGGAAACCCAAGGAGGGGTTACTATGAGTCGGGTCCGACTCGATGGCACATAACAACAACAACAACAACAACAGTGGCTCTGCGCAAGAAAATCTGTTTCTGTAAAGATTACAGCCAAGAAAATCCTAGGGGGCAGTTCTACTGTCACATGGGGTCATTATGACTTGGAATTGACTTGAGGGCACCCAAGAACAGCAATAGCATGAAAGTAATGACCAAGGTGGTAGATGAACCAAATGGAAAGGAAAGTGATGTGAGCCAAGATGGGTTCTATGTAGGGATAGTCTGTTGATTTTGGAGACTGATGGGGGTGGGCAGAACAGTGACTGTGGAGTTTCATTAATAATGTAAGATTTATTTAGTTATATTGCCAAAAATCTATAAGCATCTCCCAATGCTTAGCCTAAAAATGTATGGAGTTTAGCCCACAAAGTCTACAAACTGGAAAAATAAAAAAATTAGTAAACTCAGTTTGTGAACTCTTAAATGCTGAATTTGACATTATTGTAAGCACTATTTTTATCTCAGATTCTAGAAAATTAGTTAAAAACTATTACATTTTAGTTCTTTTTAAATATTTTTATAGATTTTTAAAATTATTATTCTTTTGCTTTTGAAACTTGGAAAATCTTCCTTTTCTAACAGGCTGTTCAGATTTTCTATTTCTTTTTTTGTCAGTTTTGGTAATTTATGTCTTTCAAGGAATTTATCCATTTCTTCTGAAAGTTGACAAGTTTATGGAAATAAAATTATTTATAACTTTCCCTTAACCTTTTAATGTCTATAATCATGTTTGTCTTTCATTTGCAATACTGGTTAATTTCTGTATTTTATTTGTTTTTCTTCATCAGTGTAGTTAGCATTTTATTCATTGGTATTTACAAAAAACTA